CTGCAGTAGTGTGGCTGGCTGGAAACAGTATTCCTGGGCAACACTGAGCTGCCTTTCAGTGGGAAAGGGAGGGAAGGGAGCTGTGTGAGCAGCAGGGCCTGTGAGCCAGTTCTCAGAGGCAGGAACAAGCTGGGGCAGGCAAACAGGTACCCAGCCTGCTCCCTGAGGAGAGTTAAACTCAACCTCAGCTTGCTAGGCCTGAATTAAATCAGAGTATGAGGAGAAGGAAGGTTTCACCCAGGAATAAACTATGGATCCAGTTAACAGGCAAGGGGTATAGGAAATTCTCACCGAGGAAATGAAGTTAACTGAACAGGGATTTAAAAGAAGTGACTTTATGAACCGTTAATAGGTGTTTCTTGATATTTTGCAGTGACGGGATCAGCAGGCCCTGTGTGTCGGTCAGCTGGGCCTCAGCACTGTGGGCTGACACTCTGCTCTGTAATGTTTGGAGTTGCTTCTTTTTCTCAGAAAACTCAGAGTTCAAAACCCCAAACTGGATTTCAAGGGCTTTGTTCCCTCACACCAGCTGTTTGTGTGGCCCCTGCAGTGTCAGATCTGAGGGCTCGAGCGGCTGCGATGGCGCCCTCGGCAATCCCAGATCCTCGGGGATAAAGGTGTTGCTGGACCGAGCTCCCCAGAGCAGAACTTCATCACCAGGAGACACAAAAAGCTGATTTTTTTCCTTTGTTTGCTTTTACTACTTGTCACAAATGTAATTTATGTATCTCCTATCCCTTTCAGAAAGTGTGGGACGGTGTGAAACAGGCCTTAAAAATATGGCAAGTGACCAGCAGCCTTTCCTGAGAACCAGGTAGCTCTGGAAGTGTGGAAGCCTGCGTGTAAAATCCGAATTGTGTGGAAACAAGATGGTTTGTAGCAATTCATTATCCTGGCAACTAGAATTTCCTGGCTCTGCTGGTAGTGTGGTTACTTACTGTTAGTTGGTAACCTGCCTAATCCTACTAACCTTCTTATTGTAACCTGCCTAACTATTGTTAGTAATCGGCTTTGGTTACTAAGCCCTAACTATTAGTAGCAAGTTTTGAGCTGGGCAGGTGCAAATACACTTGTTTTTAGTCCTGTTGACAACTGGCTTTTGCTTGTACCATTTGTGCTCATCAAATTAAACATGATCTCAATTAAATCAAATTAAATCAAATTAAATCAAATTAAACATGGTGTTGATTATCAGGAAATAACAATTTTTCTTGCCAGTTAACACATGCCTTCTGTTGTGCTACAGCCACCGAGGCATGTGGGGGATTGTCCCATGTGGATAATCCTGGGATGCAGGTCTGTGACACACAGATCATAACTGGGCAGAATTAAAAGGGGTGAAGTCCTGCTCGTCCCTGTCATCTCCTAACCTTCACCCCCTTTTGCTGGGAGAGTGGATGAGTTAATTTGACTCAATCAAGGGGCTTGAAAAATGAGGAAGAAAAGGAAGGATGGGGAGGACAGAGCTTGTGCTCCTTGGGCACAGACAGGCTGTTTGATGTGCTCAGCTGTCTGTGGAAGGATTTAAACAGTGGTGCTTACTCTGAGTGAGCAGAGATGCCCAGCAGGACTGGGCTGAGGGTTTAGTGGTGTGTTTGTGCACACTCAGCACAGTGGAAACCTCTTAATGCTGTTATTCCTTAACAAAGCTATCTAAAGCACTAGATCAGGTCCTATAACTTCGTGTCTGTGTGGTTTGCCTTGCCCAGTGATCCCCGATTTCTCTGCCCCATCTGACTGCTGGGTGTTTGTAGTACAAAGTAGGGACAGGAATTTTTCTGATACTGTTTGTAAGTCTAAGTTCTGATCTGTCATTCCTCAAATACCTGAAATTCCTACTGAAGAAAGAAGCAATTCTGAGTTTTGCAGGAGCATGCAAGGGCCTTTTTTTTTTTTCTTTTAACCAAAAAATTATACAACCAGAGATGTAAGACTATAATTCCACTGAAGGTGAGGAAGGTCTTTTGTTATTCTCTTCATCTGTAAAAGATAATGATGTAATAATTTTTTCCTCAAATGAAAAGAGGATGTAAACTCCTGCTTGATGTTGTGATAATTATGCACATGAAGAGATGGTTTCTAGAGGAAACAGTATTTTAAATACAAAGAATGCTTGAAAAAGCGCAATATCCAAAACTTCTGGCTTCTTATTTTGAAAATAAATATGTATAATTATTATAGAGAAACACTCTTCCTGCACTTGGAATTTATTATTTAATACTAGAGCCTACATGCAAAGTTATCTCCTTCTTCCCGTGTGGTATTTTTAATCCTTTCTCCAGATACACCTTTCTCATTTTCTTTGCAAATTTTTGAACATGTTTCTACTTTTGTGCTCTGGCCATTAATTAAAATATTAAAGACAGAATATTCAATAATCTGTGAGAAACTTTCCTATTCATCTCCCTCCTGCAGCCTCCCTGAAAGCACAAACTCATCAGCATTTCTCCTTTAATGAGCTTCTTACCTCAAAATGCTTCTACTGTAATTTGCCAAAATCTTTCACCTGGATTTCGATTTTCACGTGGAACTTACTGGTTCTTTTCTTTAAATAGAGTTATTTTCTCTCAGTTTTTCTGGTTTGTCTACACGTTCCTCTTCTTTGTTTGAAGTATTTTTTACTTTGCTTCACGAGGTTTAATTCACCTTGACCTGTCAGTCTCTGTTTCTATTCTGTCATCTCTGATTTTTCTTTGCTTTCTTTCCTTTCTAATTCCTTGCTGGAATGTTTATCCCTTTATGTTTGTAATGCAATTTCTGAACAGGTTTTTTTTTTTTTCCCTACCTAAATCTCATTATCCTTCCACTTTGAAAAGCTGATTTCCATAAGTGGTTCCTTTAATATCTCCGAGTTTGATCTCCCCTCTCTTTCCCAAATTAAAGAATCCTGCTGTATATTGTCATGTGAAAACTAAAGTACCTTCTTGTATTAAAACCATTTATATTTGATCATTCTTGTTGCCTTTTTCCAGTCACATAATTCCCTGTTACGATGGGAGGAGCAGGAATGCAGTATTCAGGATGGAACTGTGCTTTGGGAATATATTTTACCCTCACATGCATTTAGTTGCACTGATTAAAACTGAACTATATCTTCTTCCATCACTGCCATCAGGCTGAAAATCCAGGTAAACCACATCCATTGGATCTCTTTATTCCACATGATTCTGCTTGACTTTTTCAGAAATGCTGAAAAAAAAGCTGAAGTATAACCTCCAAAAGGTTATATCATATTTTATATCATATTTTATATCATAGTTCAGTGTTCATTAATTCTGTTACTGTTAAGGTTGATATGAAAAAACTTCAGTGAAAAACTCAATCCAAATTATACACAGGTCCCCAACTCCATCTTCTAAAACCTTAAAAAGCAGTGATTTTGCTACTTTCAGTTCAAAGGAGTTTTAGTAGTAGTTTTATTCCCTATTTTAATAATTCAACAATTATATGTTTGTTCTTTTAGAACACTTAGTCAAGTGCTGTCAGATCTTTAGAAACACATTGATTGTTTTTCTGATTTGAAATCTCTTCCAATAATCTGAGAAAAGCCATAACTTACATTCCTCTGCCTTCTTTCAGAAAAAAGATTTAATTTCCTAAAGAGACAAGTCCCAGTAATGTGTGATTATTAACTGGACAACTCTTCAGAATTACAAAATGCTCACAAAGACAAGCAAACCAACCTCGAGTTTGGATTGTGGGGCTGCCAGGTATAAGTAGAGACTGTAAACTCTGATTTTTACCTTGTGAAGTAATGATTAACATTTTCAATATTTTCCTTAATTATTAATTAATATTTTATTCAAGTATTTTTTAAAAAAAAGTTTCAATTTCACATTTAGTTATGCTCACGTTTCAGAAATAAATAAAAGCAATGATATTTAAAAAAAAGTTCAAACATTGAGAGACTGTGTAACAAAGTAAGGAGGAAGAAACAAGAACAGGTTTTCTGTGCATGTGATGTTTTCCAGCACTGAGTGTGCCAGGTTAGCAAGAAAGTCAGTCATAGAAGAGGGAAAAAAACAATCCCCAAACCTTTTATTTCCATTCTTTGTTGTGTAGTAGCTGAAGCCCTGAGTAACCTGTGTGTAAGAAGAGGTACTACAGCACTTCTTGCCATAGCTTGACACAACAAGAGTTACCTGAGGTAAAAAAGAGTGTCCCTTCAGTGGGATATAATGGCATTTACTGCTCCAAAGTCTTTGCCAGCATGTGGAAAAAGCTGGATGTGAGACCTCAGTGCTTACACAGCACACGAGGTGTTGTTATTAAACAATGGTTGTCGTTTCTTTGTTAAGATCAGAGGTGTACTAAAGCCACACAAGACTAGAATAAAGAAGTTTAATACAAAAGTAAATTATTTTCTTGGTGGAAACCAGTAACTTGAGGTTTCTTACTGGAGAACAAACCCAATTTCTGCACTGGGAGGACTCTGAAGTGAAGAGGGAAGAATTCACAGAATTTTGTATCTGTAGCAAAGCACCATTTTTTTTCTCTGTTCCTCTTCCAGCAATGGAAGAGGTTCCTGAGCTCTGGGACATCCTGTCAGTTGGCTTCTTCATCGCTGGCTTTGTCTTCAGAATCATCACTTTCATATTCCTCATCCTCATACTGGGAGGCCCCCTCGGCCTCAGGGTCAGACTGACCTTCCTCCTCCTGCTCCTGGGAGCGCTCAGACCCAGAGCTGGGGCTGGAATGATCCTCCTCCTGTTCCTCTTCCTCCTGGGAATGGCCAGGTGACTGATCTGCCTTTGCTTCTTCTTCCTCCTCCTCCTCCTGGGAATGGCCAGGGGACAAGCCTGCCTTTGCTTCCTCCTCCTCTTCCTCGCTGTTCTGGACGGAGGGTGGGCTGGACTCGGGCTCAGGAGCATCAGGGCTGGCTCTGGGCTCTTCCTCATCCTCCAGCTCACTGCACTGCTCATCTGGGGTGGAGGTTTTGACACCTTTTCCCTTCTCTTCCTCCTCCTCCTCCTCCTCCTCCTCCCAGGACTGCTCAGAGTGGGGACTGTCCTCGGCTGCTCCCTCAAGGAATCCCCTTTCCCTCACTTTGATCTCGATGACTCTGAAAAGACAATTGGCAGGTGAGATTCTGTTTTCTGGGAAAGTACTTTTTAAAGTACCCTCCTGTAATACAGGACAAATCCTGGTACTCTTGGCTGGGGTGGAACTGGGGAAGGAGAAGGGAAGGGGACACACCAGAGTCTCTTTTATGCTAAAAAGTAACTCAACAGTATTGCTTATATATTCCATTTTTTTTATTTCTGCTTCCCTTTAAATCATAACACTTAATGGATATTGAAAATGAATTTTTATAAGGCTTATTTTAAAAAAATTTAACTTTAAATTTTAAATCAGGTTTAAATTTAAACCTTCATCAGGTAATGACAAATGAAGTGACTTTACTAGCAACCTGCCAGAATTTTTGGTGAAAGGAACAAATAAAAAAATGTTTTTCTTCATTTTTCTTACATAACCAGTGCTCTCTTCCATTTTATGAAATAATATTTAATTCAGGAAGAACAATAAAAAGCACATGCTACCACTAACATTAGTAAAGCAAACCACATAGTCAAACAGTTCCCTGGGAAATACTATAAATAATTTAAAAAAACATCCCAAATCTACACACTAAAAATGCCTTTCGAATTATTAGATGTGCAGTGGGTGAGAAAAACAAAAGCCTTCAGTAACCTCTACCTTTCTCTGGCATCAGTGGAGATGAAATCTTCAGCAGTGGAGCACTGGAGCACAATAGTTGTTTGTCCTTTCTTTGCAACAAACTCTGGGTTTATCCCCAGTGCTCTCAGTCTGTTGGAATAATGCTTTTCTGCAGCTATTCTGGCATTTTTCTGTGGAAAAACCACAATGGTTCTGTGTTATCTAATGCATTGAATGCCTGCCTTTTGATGCTTTTATTGAGATTAATCCTCTGTTTCATTAATTGCAGCTGACAAGTGGAATGATTGTTCACTGCAGGTAAGAATGGTGAAGCAATACTTGAAAATTTTACATCAGATTTTCCTTTCCTGTGCTGCCAATTTTTGGTTGTGTTCAGAGCTCTGAACTGGACACACTCACAGTGGTTAGTCACAAAAATTAGTAACATTTACGTGGGGCAACAGAGATTGAAACAGATAAACACTGGTCTAAAAGGTGTTTTTCAAGTGTCTCCTAAACATGTGTGACTACAAATGTCTTATTCAGTATCTGCAGTTAAGAATTGAGCAGTAACACAGAAACAAGGCAACCTGAGTGACTCTTTCAAAAAGCAAAGGCCTCTGTTTTACTCTTTCTTCCATTTCTTGCAACTCTTGCAAATATTCCTGCCTTCTCCGCTTCTCCTCGTTCCTAAGGGAAGCAGAGCACAGGAGAAATTGTTATTAATTCATAATACAACAAGTGACTTTCTACAGCAGCTAAATTGCTCATAACAAACTAAATATTGTCCCATTTAAAGATAAATAAAAGGTAAGTACTGAACGAACCCGTCTCTGAAGTTGTCACTTGGGCTAAGCAGAGGCAGGTTACTGAGGTTAAACAGAGGCTGAGTTTGGATTCTTGGAGGTTTTGGGGATTTTTAAAAACAAAAAATTTGGATACTTGGGGGTTTTTAAATGCTGATTTCACACAGATCTTCCAGCTGCTCTAAGCAAAATTAAACAGAGTGCACCACAGGATGCAAATAGCATTAAATAAAAATCAGTGCTTTTAAAGTTTGGTGAGATTCCTGCTGCTTTAGCACTTGATCTCCCATAGAACACTTTATTCCTAGCTGGCTTTTCAGGGGCCCAGTCAATAGAGCAGGATGATGAAACTGTTGATTCATCAACTGAAATGGTCATTTGGATCACAGCAAGCACTGGATAATCCAGGTAGGATGGGTGGTAATCCTCAGTGTGTGACAGACACCTCGCTAGGCCAAGGATGAGATCCAGGGGGCATTTTACCCTCCTGTCTCCTCCTGCCTCTCTCCCTGCCCATCTCTGAATTCCTGGGACGTGGCTATGCATCAAGGCAAGTTATTCCCCTTTTTGGGGAATGAACTTCCTTGTTGCTCCTTGCTTGGAAGAGCACTTGATCAGGTTAAGCCCTTGGAGCAGCCCCAGAGCATCAGCACCAGGGAAATAACCTTGCTTTGTAATGGCATCACTTTATGTGCAGACAAGAATTAAGCCAGGAGTGTTTTACAGAGCTCCTCAAACCTGATTAAGCTGAACACAGCAGTGTGAATTTTGCTGGTGAATGAACTCAAACCAAATCTGCACAAACACCCACTGTCTCTCTTCACTCTCCACCTACTCTGACTCCAATTGTTTTCTGCTTCTGTCCCGGAGCCAGCAGATCATCTCCAAGGACACATACGTTATAAAGCTCCTGTTCCCAATAGAATGCCTGGTTACTGGAAATTAGGAGTCCTGTTTGCCCAGGAATCCTGCCCAGGCATGAAGCAGCAGGGGCAGAGCAGCCCGTGCCTCTCACCATCTCCACACAACAGCACCTGAAGCTGGTGATCCTCCTGCAGTGCCATCGTGCCAGCCCAGATCACAAACCTCACTAAAGACTCGAACAGGATTAATTTTTTTGTAAGATTAAAAAGAGCAAGAAGCAGAAATGGTTTTAAATCAGCCCCAGACACCAGGTCCAGCAGCAGTTGTGGGGTTAGATCCGTGCCAGAGAGCTGGAGCCACCTGGAGTGCCAGCTCCCAGCACTGGTGTCATTCCCTGCCTGCTGCTTCCCTCAGTCATACAGAAACAGTCTTTCAGTTGTATCTCTCCTACAGGTAACTTTGCATCCCCCTCCTCCCAAACACCAGCAGCTTCCTGGGTAGCTGCTGTTACAGGTATGAAGTTAAAATAATATTCCTGCTCCAATCTTCCCTCTCCAGTCGGGCCTGCAGGGACAGAGAAGTGACTTGTGGAATGTTCACTGCCCCAAGGTACCAGTGCAGTATCCAGCTGTGCAAGGATATTCTGTAACTACACTGTTCCTTTTTCCTTTGAATTGTTATAAACTTTTCCTCTTTAGTTGATGTGTTAACTGAGAAAACACAGGAGTCCCCTGTTAGCTAATCTGTAATACTCTAAGGTGGAATATATATTTCTATATATATGTTCTAATGATTTCAGTATAGATTGGAAACAATTTCCCAGTTGAAACACTAAATTTGACCATTTTCACTATCTGCTTGCACAATGTTTAATTTATCACATGTCATTGTGGTAACTTAGACTATTTTTTTACACATTGTATGTTTAACATACAATGCAATCCTGAACCTCCCATTCTCATTGTTGGATGAGAGGTTCTGGATTCAGGGGAATGCCACAAAATACCTGAATGTTTTTAATTTGGATTTAGACATCTGAGCAAGGCTCTGATGTGGGTCAATGGCCTCAGCCCGAGCCAGTACAATTTTCTGGAATTTTTTCTTTCTTTGTTTCTGCTTTGTTCTGTTCCTTTTTTGTTGTTCTTCCAGCTTTCTCTTTTCCTCAAGTGAATTCCTGGTGGGGAAAATAAACTAAGGCTGAATTCATATTAAATCAAGAGCACCACTTCAAAGGAAGCTTTGGCAAAGATGATTCCAAGGAGGAAAACGGGGTTGCCATGAGAAGACACAAAGTATGTGCCATTTTAAGGGATTCAGGATATCCTGGGAAACAGCAGTCATTCATCCCTTTCCTAGGGACATTCTGAGAAAAATTCACTATTGTTTCTTCAACAATCATAAATTTAAAGTATGTTGGTTTATATTATTTTAAGTTTTATATTATAATTAAGCCCTTATATTAACAAATTCAGCCCTGTATTCACTGCATGGAAGAATTAACTACATGTGTAGAAATACAAAAAAAAAAAAATCTACTTTTAAAGTACATATAAAGTAGAACATCTCTAAGTAGTCACCTTAAGGCTTGTAGCCTTCGTCTGGTGGACTCTGTGTTTTTAGGAGACTTGGATTTTCCAGCTCCCAAGAGTTGGGAATTCTCACTTGAATGTCTCGTTTGGGGTTTCCGTCTGGGAGAGGCGAATGGCCACCGGGTTTCCTTCAGCTTCTCTTCATCCTCCTCAATGTCCTTCAGAATCTTGCCCTTGTTTGAGGGGATATATGAAGTCAGAAGGTTGAAGGGCTCACACACCGTGAGGTCTTTCACTTGCCTTTGCTGCAGGAGCCGTTTCTGGAATCTCTCATATAACCTTTCAAAGTCTGGAATGGTGGAGTTGATCCTGGGTTTGTGTGCTGTTTGTTTTGGGTCAGTGCTCTTGCGTTTCTTGGTTTTTTTGGTCTCTTTTAAGGCCAGCCTGCTGTTGGGGACAGAGGAATTACGCAGCATCTCCTCAGCTCTCATCCTGATCCTGATTTCCCTGTAGAGCTCCTCCTCCTTCAGCCTCTCATTGAAATCTGGGCTATAAACACACTTGGGAACCGGTTTTGCTCTGAACACTTTGGCCGGACTTTCAGGCACGGAAATGTCTCTTAACTGCATTTTCCTGATTTCACTCCTTTGCCTCTCTCGTTCGATGAATTTAAAGGGTTTCTGGGAAGCCAAGAGCTTGAGTTTGCTCCTCTCCTTCACAGACCTCCTGCGCTCCTCGTTCCGCTGCACGATGTCGTGGTAGAGTGGGAGGAAGACGGCGGCGGGCACCGGGTTGGCCCGGAATTTTTTCTGGCACTCCGCTTCTTCCTCCAGCTGCTTCTTCAGTAAGTGATTCTCCAGTTCGATCTGTGACTTGGATTTAACGTTCTGTTCTTTCTTCTGAGCTTCTCTGATGGTCATCTGGAAAGGCTTGGGCACGGTGACTTTGGGGGACCACTCCTTGGGTTTCTTCCGGGCCTTCCTGCAGGTGGGCGAGACGGGCGGGCTGTCTGGGAGGCGGGAGATGTAATCTTCCATGGAGAACCCATCCCACATCTTCTCAATCCGTTGCTTAGCCAAAGAGGATGATCCGGTTTCACTCCAGTTTCCTTCAAATACTAATTCCACGTCAGACACATCGGATATAGTTGAGCTCAAGGGATCACTTAAGTCGGAGTCTGAAAAGGATTTGTGCAAGTTTAGAGGCTGATACGAGCTCCTGTCCCAAGTTGGCCTTGGAAAAAGGGGGAAAAAAAAGCTTGGTTTGAGCCAGTCCAACATTGGTGCAAAGCCAGTAAATTCACTTTAAGGAATCATTGCTAGAAACAAAAAGGACAGTGGCTGAGGAGGACGAGAAGGGAAAAGAGCAGCACCAGATCCCAGTTTTAGTGCTGATCACCAAGTCAGCCTTTCCTAGGGAAAGGCCCTGTGCTTTCCTAAACATGCTGCCCAGTCCCTGCTGCACACCCTCCTCTGAACCTCACAGACTGCCAGTGAGGTGATGAGCATTTTTATTATTAAAACTGAATGTTCTCTGATCACCTGCTCACAGGAGACGGTGAGACGAACACTTTCCAGCCCCACAAACACAGCCTGCTGTTTTACAGCTCCCTGCAAAGCATCTGGGAATCCTCAGATAAAAAGTGCCCCCCAGCTTACCTACAAGACTTAAAAGAGGTGTCCTTTCTCTTGTCCAAGGGTTGTGCTCCTCTTAAATGCAGTTTGTTCCGATACATACTTTCCAATTTTTTCATGGTCTCAAGGTGGGCATTCTTCAATTCTTCCAGCTTCAAGTAATACTCTTGATTTGAATTGCATATTTTGGAGAAGTCTATCCACTTGTCACAGTCTCCTTTTAGAGGGGGGGTCTGCGCTCTGTTGGTGTTTGAATCCAAATCAAAGCCGTCCTGGAAAAGATGTTTGTAAAATTTTCTGTTAGAAGAAAGGGGAACGAGGTTCTTTATGTTGCTTTATTCTAATTTAGTCTAATGGATGATACAAGTAATACCAAATAGAGTTAACCTGTATACAAATGTTACTGCAGAGCTCCATGGAATAATCTTATTGTATATTAATTTATGTCCTGGGGGTCCTATTTAAAGCCTGTAAAAATTCCCAAGTCTGTCCTGTTATCAATATATTTATAACAGGAATTATGATCAAAAGGACTCACCAAAAGAAAAAACATAACTATTTTATAAAGCGCAGTTTTTCCTCGATTACTATGCAGCTCTAAAAAAGCCTTTAGTTAAAAGCAAACAAAACCCCAACAGAACCTTCTCTGCCTTCCATTGCCATAAGAATTCTAAAAATAAGTCATTAGAGATCTGGTGTATAAAAGTTTATTCCCATTTCCATAACTTACTGTGAGAGGACAGGGATTCTGCACAGCTTATATGTCCAATACTGTTGGAACTATATATGCCAGCCTATATATGACTATATATATAAAACATATATATAATATACTGCCAGCACTGGCAGCTGTGTGCAGGTAATATTCTTTAAACATTTTTAAAGCTTACACAAGTCAGGGAAGTTACTAAAGTCAGGTTAATCTGCATTACAAAGGCTTCATTTTGTTCTTTAAAAAAAAAATAAATAAATAATCCCGGGGCAATTTCTCTGTCCTGAAAATTAGAATACAACTTTTCCACACCGGAGCTATTTTAATAAGCTTTGACATTCCGACAGAAAGTCTTGTTGGTTTTCACAGCAAAAATCTCTTAACTCCGGCGTGGAAGAAACGCAACGGGAATTCCACGAACACGGAGGGAAATTCAAAGCGCTGTTGGAGAACCCCCAGTGAGGGGCATTATCCACCTCTCCCGGGATCCGTGTGTAAACCCCGCGGAGCGCTCCAAGCCTCTTCCCTGGGCTCGGGCACCGCCAGCTCCTCCATCTGCTCTCCAGCCGCCGGGGTGCCCAAGCTCATTAAGGGATTGGCGCTGCAGCGGGGCCGTCCATCTGCCAAGGCCTCTCCCTGCCTCTCCCTGCACCTCGTGCCCCGTTCCAAGCCGGAAGGTGCCGACCCGGCTCGGGCTCCCGGTGCCGGGAGGTCCCTCCCCGGGTCCGGGCGGGTCCGGGCGAGCCCTTCCCGCCGTGCCAGGGATGCCCGAAGCGCCCCGCGGTACCTGGGCGGAGGGTGCGGGCGGCGGCCCCCGCTCGTAGAGCGCGGCGGGCGCTCTGGTGCGCGGGTCCAGCGGGGTGCGCAGGCAGGACGCGGCCAGACGGGCCGCCCGGTGCGCCTCCTCCATCCCGGCACCGGGGCGCCCACCGGGCCGGGCGGGAAGCACGGAGGGAAGCGGGGACGGAGGAAGGGAGGGAAGGAAGGAAGGAGGGAGGGAGGTGGCTCCCGCTCCGCCCCCGCGCGTTATAACCGCCCTGCCCCGAGCCCGCCCCGCTCCCGCAGGGACCGGCACCGCAGCGTCCTCTGCGCCCGCGGGGAGCGGGCCAGTGAAGTCCGGGGCTGGAGCCTGACTCCATCCCCTCTCCGCATCTGCTGCCATCCTGATTTTTGGGCAGCTTTTTGCAGGATTTTAGTCGGAACCTGCAGCTCCCTCCTCGACAAGATCGCGGTTTTTACGCCCTCAAGTCGCTAAAGAAGCTTTTTCCGTCTTGAAGTTTGTGCTTCAGGTAAGCAGTAACAGAATACAGTTAAAGCAGGATAAGCACGAATGTTCTTCTGCAGGAATATTCTATCCTAAACTAGAATAAGCAGGAATATTCTATCCTAAACTAGGATAAGCAGGAATATTCTTCTGCAGGAATATTCTGCCCCGGGAATAGTCTATCCCAAATCAGTGTAAGCAGGAATATTCTTCTGCAGGAACATTCTGCCCTAGGAATAGTCTATCCTAAACCAGGATAAGCAGGAATGTTCTGCTTCTGCAGAGGCACATTAATGATTGATGGACCTAGTTGTTGTAGTGGAATAAAATACTTTTTATGTAAAGAAAAAAACATACTTTTTATGTAAAGAAATATGAGAAGATGAAATCACACCCGATTGTTGTTGTAGGTCTTGTGGAGAATTGGAAGTTTGTGATAGTGGGGAATTAAAGCTTTAATCAAAGTGAATAAGTACCTAAACTAAGAGATCGCTGCTGGATGTAACCCCTGTGGGGGAAGGCATCGTTTGCAATTTTAATCAGCCAATAAATAATTCATGCAGAGCATTAATACCTAAATCAACTGTCTAATTTATGTATTTTTATTTTAATTATTCTCTGTGTTCTACTTGGCAAGTCACAGGGAAGCATTTCAGCAACAGCAGGTCAACAACACGGTGGAAATTTCCTCAAAGGCTCCAGCTCCAATCAATCCTGAACGGAAGTGTGAGTGAGGCTCACGGAAGGAATAAACATAAAGAGGAATTGGGTTCTTTCAATACAGCAGTAATGGAGATGAAAGGGTTAATTCAAAATGCCAGGCTAAGAATTAGAAGTTGTAGAAGTGTAACTTGCATTATTATAGACAATACTTTTTGACTTCTCGGTCACAATTAAATTGTGGGGTAGGCAGAGGAAACCATGTGTAAAGAGCACCCTTTGCAATACTCTGGCTCGTGAGATGGCATCAGGAGTCACTGCCAACTTCAGGAGACAGAACAGAGGAGGGAATGTGACAGTGCTCCCCAGGGCTGTCACTGCACAGATCCTCCTCCTCTCCAGCCCAGCATCATCAAGGGCAGTGACACCACTCCCTCAGGGAAAGCTTTTGGAGAAGCAGCTCTAACTCAGCATGTTACTGGACTGCAC